TTCAAATCGTACCTGTCTGACTGCGATCAATTCGTAGCAGTGAATGAAGAGGTATCACATTGATCACAAGTGCAGTATGGAGTACCTCAAGTCTCAGTACTTGGGCCGTTACTTTTCACGCTTTACATGTTACCCTTGGGAGATATCATCAGGAAACATGGTGTTAGCTTTCACTGTTATACTGATGATACTCAGCTCTATATTTTTTCGTGGCCCGGCGAAACATACCAATTAAAAAAACTGGTGCATAGTCGGTTGCAGTATGCACGGAATGAATAGTCGATATAAAAAACTGGATGACGAGTAATTTCTTACTGCTAAATTCTGAAAAAACGGAGATGTTAACTATTGGACCTAAAACCTCTGCATGTAATAACCTAGAACACTGTCTAACACTTGATGGCTGCTCTGTCAATTCTTCGTCATTAGTTAGGAACCTAGGTGTGCTATTTGATAGCAATCTTTCCTTTGAAAGTCACATTTCTAGCATTTATAAAAGTGCATTTTTCCATCTCAAAAATAATCTAAATTATGACCTATGCTCTCAATGTCAAATGCAGAAACGTTAATTCATGCGTTCATGACCTCAAGGTTAGATTATTGTAATGCTTTATTGGGTAGTTGTTCTGCACGCTTAATAAACAAACTCCAGCTGGTCCAAAATGCAGCAGCTAGAGTTCTTACTAGAACCAGGAAGTATGACCATATTAGCCCAGTTCTGTCAACACTGCACTGGCTCCCTATTAAACATTGTATATATTTTAAAATCTTGCTTATTACTTATAAAGCCCTGAATTGTTTAGCACCTCAGTATTTGAGTGTGCTCTTATTGCACTATAGTCCTCCACGTCCACTGCTTTCTCAAAACTCTGGCAATTTGATAATACCTAGAATATCAAAATCAACTGCTGGCGGCAGATCCTTTCCCTATTTAGTGCCCAAACTCTGGAATAACCTACCTAACATTGTTCGGGAGGCAGACACACTCTGTCAGTTTAAATCTAGATTAAAGACCCATCTCTTTAACCTGGCTTACACATAACACACTGACACAATTCTAATATTCAAATCCATTAAAGGATTGTTAGGCTGCATTAATTAGGTCAGCTGGAACCGGGAACACTTCCCATAACACCCGATGTACTTGTTACATCGATAGAAGAATGGCATCTACGCTAATATTAGTCTGTTTCTTTCTTATTCCGAGGTCACCGTAGTTATCAGATCCAGTCTGTATCCAGATCTTATGGTCACGGCAGTCACCCGGATCCAGCACGGATCCAGCCCAGATGGTGGCTCAGGACCTAGAGATGAACTCGACAGCCCTGAATGTCAGCGGAGACCAGAACAACTAGATGAGCCCCAGAGACAGATCCCCAGTGAAGATCTTGTCTCCTAGACGGCCATCAAGATAAGACCACAGGAACCAGATGAGTCCTCCGCACAATCTGACTTCGCTGGAACAACCTGCTGGTTCGTCTGGCCATAGGAGAACTCGCCCCCGACTGAGCCTGGTTTCTCCCAAGGTTTTTTTCTCCATTCTGTCACCGATGGAGTTTTGGTTCCTTGCCGCTGTCGCCTCTGGCTTGCTTAGTTGGGGACACTTATTTTCCAGCGATATCGTCGACTTGATTCCACAGATACTATTTAGGCCGAACTAAGCTGGATGATGACATCACTGAATTCAATGATGAACTACCTTTAACTGAAAATTGAGTGTTTACTATTGTCATTTTGCATTATTGACACACTATTTTCCTATTTAATACTGTAAAGCTGCTTTGACACAATCTGTATTGTTAAAAGTGCTATATAAATAAAGGTGATTTGACTTGACTTGCTGTTATTTGTGTACATTGCATAGGTGTTCCACAACAATACAATGCAGTGTCTGTGCAACATATCTTTCTTTTAAGGCCTTAGAACTGTAGTTTGCCATAGATCATGTGAAACTTGTGAGGTTTCACATGCAGTTGGTTGCAGTCAAACTTCTCTTTCCTCTAAACAATGAAGTCTTTCAGTACCTGCTTGACAATACCTGTAAATATAGTCCATGGGCTGATTGCATGAACACTTTTTACGGTTAGATGTGAGGGGGTCTGGCAGAGAACATAGAGCATCTTACATTTGAACACATTGTTTCGTATGAGTGTATGGCGTTGTCATTGCTACGACTCTGAATGCTGCTCAAAATTCTGCCATGCCACATGCCACCACTCACATATTTTTCTATTAAATTATGTTTTATTTGTCCTAAATCATTGTTATTGCACTTACTGACTTCAACCTAAAATTTGTATTGTGTATAGACATTTTTTCACTAACAAATCTATTGTGTTGTCCTTTCTAATATTTTCATTTGCGCTTTTGAGCTTTTTTCAAACACCAAACTGATTAATGCCACTTTGTTCATTCTTAAAGTGATTTTGTTCCTGGTGATTAGATTCACTGATTTTGAGTGCCGCCTTGAGCTTGAGCACGACAGTACAGAGTGACGTGTTCCAGTGATCTTGCTGTGATGAGGTTTGGCTCTTCTCGTCCTGTGTGCTGCTAACTGACATTACATTAGATTCCAGCAGATGACTTAATGGACCTGTTTTGGGTGAAATGATTACTAAGGACTTTGTTGCAAAGCCAAACAGAACTTAGGGAACAATTAAGCAATTAAATGGAAATATATATAATGACAAGTTTAAAGGGATAGTTCACCCAAAAATTCATAATTTTCTCACCCTCAAACTGTTCTGTACCTGTATGAATTTCTTTCTTCTGTTGAACATAGAAGGACGGTATTTTGAAGAATGGGGTAACCAAACAGTCGCTGGTCCACATTGATTTGATATGGTGAAAATACTGTGGAAGTCAGTGGGGACCGGAAATTGTTTGGTTTCGTTTTTTAAAATATCATCTTATGTGTTCAGCATAAGACAAACATTTATACAGGTTTGGAAAAACTTGAGGGTGAGTAAACGCTGACAGAATTTTCATTTTTTTGGTGAACTATCCATTTAAGGTTAGTAGACCTTTTTTTTCAACCTAACTTTCATTCATTATTAGATTAAGAAGGGCATTCTTAATCTAATAATTTAGGGTTTTCTTATGGGCTTTGTTGCAAAAATGCCCAGATGCTTATTTATTAATTGGTGGTGGTTTCTGTATCTTTTAGCCTTTTGGGTCAAGGTCACGTTCTTCTGATTTTTTCCCTCTGTTTGTAATTAAGATTTGTGGTGCTGGTGTCTTCAACTGGAACGGGTTTGCAAACAGGAAATCAGATTGCATTTCTATGCCCTCTCAATTTAGTTGCTGGTTTTCTTTAAAGCTAACAGCTTTTGCTTGTTTGTCTTTACTTGAGCTGTGTTTATTTTAAATGAAGTTTTTATTTTCAATATCAAATGTTTTCTGCTATCTCAATTTAGTATGCAAAGAAAGTAACCTAGAAGTAAACTACAGTATAAATAAGCCATTTGTAGATTGATCTCCCCATCATCAAAAAGTGTAAGCCTGTCGGCAGGTTGATACCAGTCCAAATGCTCTGTACCCGAGCCACATTTGAACCAAATTTGAAATATGGACCAAGTTTGGCCCTGAACACTAGGCATCTAAACACTGAGTGTAATGATTGGTGCCAAATGTGGTTGCATATTCTCAGCCTAGTATAATACCTAGTAAAATGTCAGTCTATGAAGTTACATTAAGACAGGTGATGCCTTTCTCTATGCAGTACTGAAAGTAGTGACATAACATGAAAAATTCTCTTGATTGTTTAGAACCCATTTTCAAATTAGTTTGAGATTTGTTTACACATAGTCATTGAGGTGGCTTTTGCAAGTTTGCAAATTTTAAGTAGATTTGAGTTTTCGTTCATTGGCTCTGAATCTCAAGATACATACCTAGTTTCAACATTACTTATTCTTCAGACATTCTGCTTTAAATACAATAAGTATCAGCTGTATACAAAGTGACCAACATTTGCTTTTTAGCCACTAAACGATGGGACTGAACGATGTAGGGCCTTGAAAATGAAGATTCCAAAAGAAAAGTTTAAGAACTAGAATCTAAAATCATATTGCGATATATTTAATATTTCTTGAGTTATAGGCATGCAAACTTTGGAAAAAGAATAGTTATGAGACTCAGACAGGTATGTTCAATGCAGTTGTTTTGACAGAATTAAACAAGCTACATAACTAGTTTCAACATTATTTGTTCTTCAGACATTCCTCTTTAAAACAAAAAAGTATCATACTTTTGCAAATTGACACACATTTGGTCTTTGACCACTAAAATATGTACATTTTAACAATTTACTCCTGGAGCCATTTTAAAATTCCAATATCTCTGGAACCGACCCATATAGGGCCTTAAAAATGAAGATGCCAACAGGAAAGTTTGTTAAGACCCAATATCTAAAGGGGCATTAAGATATATTTTATACTTCTTGATTTACAGGCATGCAAACTTTGAAGAAAAAAATCTATTTTTTAATGGTCACCATTGGTAATGCAACAAAGATTGTTAAAGTGAACAAATTTTACTAACAGACCTACCATGTAAACATAACATTATGATGCTGCCATCTTTCTAAAGTAATTTTTACCCCCTTGGCTCTGAATCTCAGGTGAAAATTGCCATTTTGACCTCCCTCTACAAAATAGTGAATTACTCAGTAAATATTCATCCATGACATTTAATATTTTGGCTTCCATTACTATACAGTGCATGTCTGTCTTTCTTCAGAAAAAAATCTAAAATTTGAGCCGGGGACCTGGTTGAGTTGACACGGAATGATAGAGTAAATATTTAGAAAATATTTTGGCACTTTTGTGCTGTTTCAGTTTAAAAGACATCATTTCAGTCATTGCCTGTTAAAAATGCAAATATTGGCTGATGCACATTGATATGCTTACCAATATAGTGTGCAACTTTTGGGATAATCTTAAAAAAAATGTCTTTCAAAATTTGCAAGTTAAGAGTATTCAAGATTGATTTTCTCTTTGCAGGATTACCTTGCTCACATTATAGATACAGGAGATCTTCCCATCAAGCCAGAACAGGTGTGTGCTCTGTTTGGAAACATAGAGGACATTTATGAGTTTAACAGGTAAGAAATCGTTCATTATTAGCTTGTTTTTGCAGCCCAACAAAATTAAACCAGCACCAGTCATTTATTGATGCATGTACAGACACTGGAATGCATAGGTTTTCTATACAAAGAACATCTTAATTTGAAGACATTATGATGTTATTTTAATTTCTTATTTAATAACAATGGTGACTAAAGGCTGAAAGATAGCTGTAACAAGCTATCTTGTCTGAAATATAGCTGTTATTAGAGCCCACACCAAAGAAGGATTTTTTTTTTACCGTTTTGTAGTTGTCACTTAAATGCTGATGATTAAATGAAGTAAATGAAAAAATTAATTAACAGAATATTAAAAGAATGATTAATAGCTGTTCCTGACAGGTATTTATTGATGAATAGTCCACACAAAATGTTTATGTCTTTGGTCTACTAAAAGATTGACTCACCAACTCCCTAATTTGGGTGGGCGGAATGAGAAATCTATGGAGCTTATAATATGACAAAACTAATTGAAATTGTATTGTGTAAATTTGAATTATTTACAAGTGTCATTTAACAAAACTGAATATTATGTGGCATTTACCATAGTTCTGAATTAGATTTTTTTTTTACTTGAATATTAAACATTTGAAATTTAACACAACTGGATGTTTTAATGGCAGAGTTTTAAAGACATGTATTTTCAAACAGCAAATTTTTAGTTCTGAAATCTTAGCCTGCAAATATCCAGTTTTTAAAAATACAGCTTCAAGTTTTCAAGATAAAGAGGAAATTCGGAACATCAAATTAAATTTGTTTTTAAATGTATATTATAAGCTCCATAGAAATCTTATATAACAGTAAAAGCAATTTTTCACAGTAATGGTACATTCACAAGGGGCGTCAGCGTCAATGCTTCTCGTTTACTTTGAATGGAGTGAAGTCAAGCATTGCCGAACTGAATTGTGAGTCTGTTGCGTCGCGTTAAAGTTGAAAACTTTTCAAGCACCAATGCAGGCGTCAGCCAATAAGATCACCTTATGCAAATACCCTGGTGCTAGCCAATCGCATTCATGCAACACCAGAAAACTAATGTGATTGGCTGTTGTCACTCTTGACAGTCGCATCAGTACCAAGCATGCCCTCCATTAAGCGTCCTCGCACCATGTGAATGTACCATAAAAGGCATTTTGGGAGTTTTTACTGATTTTATTTGCATTACAAAAACAGGGCTTGGTGAGAGTTTAACTATTTGGGAAAACCAAATTGGGATTTCACTTATAAAAAATAAAATATATTTATTTTTCCTTTTTTAATTTTCTTTAAAGAAGTTCAGGTTTGCTGTGCTTGTATATAAAAGCTGCACAAGAAGAGAATGTTACCATTAACCTTTTTTTCTAATTTCTTTCTCCACTTCAGTTGTTTAAGGCCACACTTAAACTGTTGGTTTTATGGAATCTATTCAATACGACTATAAAAAAACAACAATAATGTATTATTACCAAACTCCATGTCAGTGAGTGCAGAGTAAAAACGTATATTGCCAGAGAACCAGTGAGAACAGGGGAAACCTTCAGCATGTCATATAAGTGACCAAATGCTACCTTTGCCATTTTTAGTCTCATTTGCTGCTTTGGCGAATGTTAATTTTGCATTCGTCATGCAACTATTCATGCGCTTCAGAACACTTGCCTAATTATTTTTTTTTTTTTACAGTCGCACAGTAATTTTCAGTTGCAGAATGTGACTGAAATGGTATTGTAGAGCCCTGGGCTGATATCTATTTTTGTAGCTTTGTCACATTTTTTACGCATGTGCCTTCATACTCACATGTACAAAGAGTCCTTTTTGTTCGAGCACACTCCCTGCTTTAACATGATATGAAAGAGGAAAAGAGAAGACAGAAACTACTAAACTGTCCGAATAAGCTTATGCTTACCGTATGTTAAGAATTTATAAATTCTCTCATGTATTTTTCATGAATCTTTTTCTAATTTGAATTTACATTTGCATATACATTTGTTAGATGCTTTAATTAAAAGTGAATTGCAGTCCACTCATTTAGCCAGTATGTCCATTTCCTGAAAATCAAACACATTACCTTGCCGTTGTTAGTGCCATGCTGTATCTGAGCTAAAGGGAGACTAAAACATTAAAGACTTGAGGTGCACTTTTCTTTTTTGTGTTTTGGTACATAAACTATGATTTGTTAGGCACAGGGACATTCTCATTCTAAAGAACTATTGTGTGGACAAAAATCTACTTATATCTGTTACTACTAATATCTTATAATGTTAGGTAATCAGTAGCATATAGGTGGCTTAAAGCTGTGACTCTAGATTAGAGCTTTTAACTTTTTAAAGTTTTTTTTCCCTCACACTGTTCCTTAAAAAGGCTTTATGGAGCCTTGAACACACAGGGTTCTTCACCTTTTCCCATCTAACCAATCATCAATATATTGTTTTTGAACATTGTCCGCTCACCTGTTGTCAGGTGTTGGTCTTACTGCAGAGAGATACTTTTCTCCTCAACACCATACAGTAAGTGAGTGAATAATTGCCATATTTCTGTTTGTGGTGTGTCACAAATGCATGACACAGAAAGTGTAGACTTCTGTATGCTGTGGGGTTTGCTGTGGTCATCTAAGCCCTGAGTTTTGCTTTCAAATCCATTTAAACATGGATTGAACTACACTTAATGGACAGGAGATTCAGATTTCTTATAACAGTGGCAAAGCAAATGCTGTCAGTTAAAATGAAAGATAATACATTGAATCTAACAATCAAGTATTCTTACTTTTAAAAATATTGCCATCCAATTATTTGTTTGCAATTTCAAATTTCAAATCACCAAAAAAAAAAAGTTTTAGTTTAAAGAGATAGTGATTATTATTTATACATGTAATCATTTATGCAATAGTGTATTTTTTCATGTTCGTTTTTAAAAGGAATAAGCCACTTGCTGCTGTTCATTAAAGTGATTTTATTTTAATACAATTAAAGAGATTTAAGGTGTTCCATCAAGGCATTGCTTTATTAATCACACGCATGGACATAGAAAGAGTGGTAAGAGACGTTCATTTTTTTTTCACTGACCACAGAAGGATGACTGACTTACAGATTGCATGTGCTGTTAATTCTGTATCACAAGGCCTTTTGCAAGCTTAACGCTATAATGGCCTTAATGGGGCTGTTTTTCTTTACAGAAGTGTGCAGAGCATGTGGTGTTTTAATAATCATTAGTTACAGTAAAGTTGTTTGTGATCTGTAAACATGCTTTCTCCTTACTTTTAGTGAGCTCCTTCAATCACTGGACATGTGTGACAATGATCCTGTGGCCATTGCCAGATGCTTTGTGATCAAGGTGAAGTTCAAGCTGACCCCAGTGCCTTTCAAGGCTTTAGATCTGATCATATTCGAATAATATGTTTATGAAACTAAACAGGAAATATATCTGTAATGATGAGTGTTTATGTTTATTCAGTAAGTTCTTTAACACCTTTACTTGAAAACAACTTCAAAATACTTAAGCTCCAGAAAAACAGTGCCGTAATTACAGTGTATGGTGATTTCCAAATCGAATTATGTAAATGAGGCTCATTGCAGCTGAATATTTGCATTGTGTGATGTGATTGGGTGTTGTTGAGAAACACTTTACTGTCTATGGTTTTCCTCTCTGTTTTTAGCGTGAATATTTTGACATCTACACACAATATTGCACCAACTACCCAAAGTAAGTGGCACTGAATGCTCAAAGTGACACATATTATGATGAAGAGCCTCTGGCTAGATGGTCAGATTAATGTGCACCAAAGAAAAGCACCTTTGGTTTCTGTCTAATTTGGAGGGGAGTTAAAATATTACCTGGACATTTCTTGACAGGATTTATGAGATGTACACTTTAAAAAATCGAATTATGTAAATGAGGCTCATTGCAGCTGAATATTTGCATTGTGTGATGTGATTGGGTGTTGTTGAGAAACACTTTACTGACTATGGTTTTCCTCTCTGTTTTTAGCGTGAATATTTTGACATCTACACACAATATTGCACCAACTACCCAAAGTAAGTGGCACTGAATGCTCAAAGTGACACATATTATGATGAAGAGCCTCTGGCTAGATGGTCAGATTAATGTGCACCAAAGAAAAGCACCTTTGGTTTCTGTCTAATTTGGAGGGGAGTTAAAATATTACCTGGACATTTCTTGACAGGATTTATGAGATGTACACTTTAATGCATATAGTATTCATCAAACGTCGTTAAACTGCATCAAAACTATAAGTGTTTTTCAATTCAATAACTAATATTAATGCAGTGGTTGGTCAAATAATTCATGACCAATAAGGTTTTTAATACCTGAACAAGCACACAAATTCAGAGTCAATACCAGGCATTACTGAACTAATGTGTGGGGACAGTAAAATGCATTACATATAATTATTTTGCCATAGCAGCAGTGCATACAAAACAATCTACAGACAAAACGTATAGTAAAATCAAGCACAGACATAAAATCTTTATGCAGTTTAAAAACAATTAAGAGTTATGTGTATTATGTGATACGTGTACAGTTTTAGATGGATGTGGATGTAGATGTCATCGTTAATACAAGTCAACCACCAATCAATAGTCACTAGTGCCTCTGCACATGAGTGATAGGTCTTACTGTAGGTGCTATTTCTGTTTGGAGCATTATGTATTTCCTTTGTAAACTTTGATGATTAATGAATTATCAGAGAGTTATTGTTATCATCAATTTGTATAATGACATATTTGTTAGTGTGGTGTGCTGTGCTGTTTTGACTGTTCATACTCTCTCCATAGCTCTGTGGCTGCTCTAACAGACTGCATGAGAAACAAAACTCTTGCCAAGTTCTTCAGGGAGAGGCAAGCTGCTTTAAAGCGATCCCTGCCTCTGGGATCTTACCTTCTCAAGCCTGTCCAGAGGATCCTCAAATATCATCTTTTACTACAGGTTAGACAACCACTCTCAGGATAATGCTTTAGAGAGTAGCAAAGGCTTCAAATCACCTACCGTGAGCAATGCTTCCATTATCATGCATGATCATTTTTGTTGGACTATGATAGTTTTTTGCATTTGGAAGGGTCAAAGTACGCACATCCAAAATAAGTCTTGGCCAGGTGCAAGATCAAAAGGTACATCAAATATTAGAAAAAAGATCTGCACACTGTTATTCTCCCTTTATTCAAAAAAATTAAAAATAGCAACGTTTTAGTCAAAGACCTTCGTCAGGCAAACACATTTTTTTGCATTTGGAAATTGTTTTTTTTTCTTTTCTCATTCTTGTATACATTCTTGTGCATTTGCAAGATATTTATTGAAAGAGTTAAGGGGAAAGAGCTATATCATGGGTTCTCGAGCAAAACAGATCACAGGTCTGTGTTACTAGGGTAAAAACCCAAAATGCACATTATTCAAATGTAAAATAACCATATGAATGTGCATTTGTATAATTGTGGATAGCAATTTTTTTCATCTTTTTAAAAGGGAAAAACATTGCCATTCTTGTTTGTTGTTGACATCAAAGGCTGTGCATTTAATCAAACTACAACAGTGATTCTAGTGGGGCCCACTAGGGGGCCTCAGTAAACTTCCAATTGGTTTAAATATGACTTAAAATTATGTAAAATGAGACAAAACAACCATTAAAATTAAAAAGATAAAATAATAAAAATCAAGATATAGTTATTATTTATTTTACCCCCCCTCAACAACTGTTTTTAATAGAGGAACCAGGATTCCCAAAGACTTTGAAAATCTACATATATGAGGGAATCCCCTTAATCTTTGTTCAGTAAATCACAAACAACTGGAAAAGTCTTGGGGCCTTCAAATATTGTTGTGGACAACAGGGTACCTTGGAGTCAAAAAGATTGAGAACCACTGCTCTACACTATTTTGATGGAAATCCATTGGTCACTTGGTAATAGAGTGTGATACTTGGGGAAAATCCTATTTATGCAAATGCATTTACTATTTTTTTTTATTTAGCCTGTAATGTAAATGATTGTGAATATTGTTGAGCCTTTACAGTTTAAGGTAATGTTAAAAGAATATCATGGTTGATTTCATGATTGCCATTTTTGTTGCTTTTATGCAATAAACAATTTTGGATTTATTTGGATGTTTTTTATATTGTAGGAGATTGCCAAGCACTTTGATCCAGAGGAGGAGGGTTATGAGGTGGTGGAGGAGGCCATTTACACTATGACTGGTGTTGCGTGGTATATAAACGACATGAAGAGAAAACATGAACATGCAGTCCGTCTTCAGGTGAGCTTGCAAACACACAAAGAAGTTGTGTTATGAGCATGTTTCACTGCTCTTGTTTATGTGCTCAGGCATGTTTAGTGAAGATATTAACCAATTCATGATCTCTGTACCTCCATAATCTATCTCAGGAGGTCCAGTCTCTGCTCATAAACTGGAAGGGACCTGATCTGACTACATATGGAGAATTGGTTCTCGAGGGCACCTTTCGTGTCCATCGTGCCAAGAATGAACGTACGCTCTTTCTCTTTGATCGCATGCTCCTTATCACCAAACGCAGAGGAGAACATTACGTCTATAAGACACACATCTCGGTATGACTTTATCTGTTTTCATAGAGAAGTATTTTGTTTTTCATTCATTTATTTTCTGAACAGTCAGCACTAATGTAGTGTGAAGCCTTTACTGCTTATGAATTTTAAGAGGTAATGCCTCTTGTTTGGTGAAGCTGCCATTGTTTTCTCTTTTGTTTCTCTTTACTTACCACAGTGCTCAACGCTCATGTTGATTGAGAGTGCCAAGGATTCTCTGTGCTTCAGTGTCACTCATTACAAGCATCCCAAACAACCTCATTCTGTCCAGGTGTGTCTTCAATGATTAGCGCCTTTACATATATACAAATATTTTATTCATAAAGAAATAGTTCCGCAAAAACTGTCTGTCATTATTTTCCGATTGCAGTGTAACATGTATTCCATTTTTACAAAAAAGTAGAAATCTTTAAAAGACCCCTGTGGTGAAAATCTAGTTTTTAACATTGTTTACATGCCTATCTGTTTTTTTAAATATGCTTACAGACAAACCAAATTAATTAGTTAACATCATTGCTGCAACATCATTGTACTAGAGATAGTCTTAAAAATGTGGTTTGAAACAGCCCATTTCCTACGGTTAAACATGTAACCAATCCCGTCAACTTGTGAAGCTTTTCATATCATTAGCAAAGCATTTCTACCTAAGGATGTTGATAATTAGGAAGTAGCTATTTGAGATCCCGAACGGGAACATGGTTTATGTAGGTCCTGTCCTGTCCTTACTGGTGTCCCTCAGGGCTCAGTTCTTTGTCCCTTGTTTTTTACCATTTATATTAACCCACTTGGCTAGCTTTTAAGCTCTCTTGACCTTAACTGTCATTTTTATGCTGATGACACACAAATGTGTATACATTCAAAAACAAGGTCAATTTGTGGACGTTTCTCATCTTTTCAACTGTATTTTTGAGATTATGGATATGGATGCCTAATAATTTTCAATTAAAATGCTTTTTGGCTCTCCCCATCAGCTGCGTACTGCTGGCTCTATAGCTTTGTCAGTTGATGGTGTTGCCTTTGAGTTACAAAGAAAAAAAAATAAAAAATCTTGGAGTCCTCTTTGATGCCAGCCTGTAATTTAAGCTTTTGTACACTCTTAAGCTTTTTGTAAGACCTCCTTTCATTTTAGAAATAATGCACATGTATTGCCTATGCTGTCCTTTTCTGTTGCCGAAAGGTTGATTAACTTTTGTTTTCTTGCACATTGACTACTGTTATGTTATACTTATTGGTGTATCTAAATCCTCCCTTAATAAACTACAATATTTGTAAAAAATAAATAAATAAAAACTCAGCAGCTGGAATCCCATCAGGGGCCATGGTTGGTGACCATATAACCTCTATTTTTTTTTGTTTCATTGGCTTCCTGTCAGGTATAGATTTGAATATCCTTATGCTGACGTACAAGGCTTTGCATGATCTGGCTCCACAATATTTGGCCAAACTTCTAACGCCTTTCACACCAATTCACAATTTGAGATTCTCTCACTGTGGCTTCTTAGTTTTTCCTAAAACACAACTTTGCTTGAGGAATGACTGGGCCTTTTTATCCTATGTTCCAAAACTGTGGAATTCTCACCCGGCTGCCATTAGAAATGCAAATTCATTAGGCATTTTTCAATCTCATCTTAAAACATATTATTTTAGAATAGCTTTTACTTGATTATCTGTTCTTTTTTGTAATTTTTTTTGTTTGTTATATTTAAAGTGTAATGTTTTACATTGTTGTGCAAAGCACTTTGACAAAGTTATTTTTAAAATTGCTGTACAAAATACATTTATTATTATTATTACCATTCTGATATCACCTTGTAGACAGCCCTGTATAATTCACTATTCCTCTTCTTTTTTGGAATTAATTCATTTATTCAACAGATTAATCTTTCAAAACGGATTAATATTGCCGCTTTGTAGCATTTAATACTTCAGTTAACCAAGTAAAAATGGAGCAGGTAGTCTGAGCTGGTTTGAATAAATTAATGCGCATATTCATGACTCCACATATAATAAATTAGTTAAGGGTATAGTGTTATATTCAAGCCATTATAAAGGAATGAAAAAATTATTTACACGGTAAAAACATTAAATGATTATCAAAGATGAGTTTTAAGGAATAAAATTAGTGACTGCAGGGGGACTTTAAAGAATCTTTATGCAGCTCTTGCCCTAAAATGACTCTTCGAAGTTATCTGTCATATATCAAATGTCCACCTTCACTGCAGCTCTTAGATCAATGATAAAACATTGTAATGTTTGGTTTAAAGACATTTCAGATCCAGTGATATTTGTTGCTGTTGACATTCAACATGCATTATTGATGCCATATTTGATTGGAGTGCAAAAAAAAATTATTTTGCTGTTCGTAAAACAAAGCTATCCTATGGCTTTAGAAGACTTAAAATAACCACACATATTATGTTGGATGGACTACTATCATGTTGATCTTGAAAGCTCATGCTCACTATGAGCTGTCACTGTATGAAAATTCTTTAAAATGCTCCTCCTTGTATGTTTCACAGAAAAAAATAAAAGCATATGGTTTTGAGTAAATAATAATAAAAAAATATTATTTTCTTATTGTTTTTGTTTATACAACTCCTGAAATGCAGTATCTTATTTTCACTAGGCTAGGACGGTGGAGGAAAAAAAATTATGGGCTCATCATATTAAACGGCTCATTCTAGAGAACCATCAGGCTGTGATACCACAAAAGGTATGCAATGAATAAAAATTAAAAAAACATTACTAGGTTTTGTATTTAAAATATCTAAAATTATTTTGGACAGATAATAACTTTGTGTTTCTCTTTTAGGCAAAGGAAGCAATCTTGGAGATGGATTCTATTTGTAAATATTTCTAACCACTCATGAATATAATTTCATACCATTTTTCTTTTTTTGTTATGAAAAAAAATGTTTTGATGGACAACTTTTTTTTTCAGACAAAAAGTATAGGTACAGTCCTGAGAAGCTCAAAAAGTCTGTGTCATGCCAGTCAGAGGAGTTTTCTAACTCTAGACAAGGCCGGAGACAATCAGGTAGGTTCCCAATCTAAGTCTTGGTCTTAACTTAGCTTCTTTTAATTGAAACTTTCCAGTTTTACAAAGATGGTCTACTACTTAATCTTCCAACAGAACCATCTAAAGAGATCCTAAAGAACACTGAAGGTAAATCTCAATGTGTCCATTCTGTTCTAACTTTAAGTAAAGATATTGTCCTATATTTAAATAAAAAGATCATAAGTGTTAGCTGCTGGCATGTAATAATGATACAGTGGGATCAGACACTAGTGAAAATGTGTCTATTTTTCTTGTGTAGTAAGACATTTAAAGGGGTGGTTCATTGCGATTTTACTTTTTTAATGTTAGTTAGTGTGTAATGTTGCTGTTTGAGCAAAAACAATATCTGCAAAGTTACGAAGCTGAAAGTTCAATGCAAACGGAGATATTGTCTTTTAAAATTCTGGCAGTTTAATGCCTACAAAAACAGCTGGTAGGGACTACAACAAGTTACTTCCCGGGTTCGTGACATCACAAACCCAGATAAACCCCACCCTCGGGAAAAGGCAGCAAAGGGTTGCTTTAGAGAAGAGGAAGAGAAAACTAGAGGTGCACATAAAAATCTGTTCATATATGAATTGTGATTCTGTCTTCTAATGATTCTAATGGATTCACAAGTTTCAAAATCAATGTTCAAAAGCAGCAGTTCTTAATACTGTTCCTCGCGTCCCCCTGCTCTTCACACGCTCTCGCTCTCTCTCTCTCTCCTCTCTCTCTCATTCAGCTCAGCTCCACAATGAACAATGAACTTTTCCAATTATACACTTATTTTCACATAGCTATGAGAAGCATTAAACATGGATGCACATGCGGTTGCTGTACTGTATTAAAGCTTTAATCAGGATAAAACCGTATATTAAAAGCTAACAGAAGCAGTAGCATTTACAACAGCGTATCTAAAAGTATGAGACAACAACAAACAAAAAACATAGGCCTACCATTAAAAGCCGTGCTTGCACATGTTCTGCGCGATCCTCTTCAGTTTTATCCTCTGCTTCTCAATCGGGCTCAAACTGATAAGCGATATTAACGATGCCGTTGTTTACAATACAATCGGAGCACATGCCGCTGAGGTGAAGGGCGGGACGATTAGACGTGCACTAGAGGCGGTTTTGCCAATCACAACACACTGGGCTAGCTAACCAATCAGAGCCCATCGCCTATTTCTGAGGGTGAGGCTTCATAAAAACAGGAAAAGATCAACCCTTTTCTCAAGGGACAGAGAGGTGTGGAATAAAGGTAAATTATGTGAAAAAGAATGCGTTTTTTTTTTATGAGGCATTAACACATGTTAGACTGCACCCCATAAACACAGTCAAGCCTAGAAAAAACCCAGTGAACCACCCCTTTAAATTGTATTATTAACTTTAATTTAAGCAGAATGTTTAACTGAGAAAATTAACCCCAAAAAAACTGAATGTCTGTTTTTGCTTTGTCTCTCTTTTTCTTTAATGAATGTGACACTCAAGTGGCTCAACAAAAAAAACAATTCAAACCTGAAAATCCATGTTCTTTAAAGCATTATTTGAGAATATTACAAGCACATTGTGCTCAAGTGAAAGCCAGAAATTCTACAAAGTATGCCTAATGTCACAAATGTGCTTACATTTTGGTATTTGAAAAGAAAAGAAGTAATGTTACGTTATGTTCCTGGACCCTACTTTATACCATTTGTATTTCACATATTTCACTGAAATTGTTTGCACCAAGTTATAAACTGTTGATAAAAATGCCTTCAAATTTACTAATATTCTCTTTCTTTTATCTGGCTGATGTCTGGGTGAATTCTTCAGTAATACTAAAGGTAAGACGCCGTTAAATCAACCAAAGGAACATTTAGAATTCAGTTAGATGGGGTTATACAAAACCACAAAGACAGTATATAAAAAAACACAAAGAATGCTAGAAACCACACAAGCAGAAGTTTACAAATTATGCTCTTTTTATTTGATGTGTTGTTTACTTTGTGGTCCACAAGATTGTTGAAATGTTGAAGACGGGTGTGTAAAAGTACAAATACTGACAAATAAAATAAAACTCTCAAGAAGTAGTAAAAGTAATAATGTTCACAATGGCTAGGTAAAAGTAAAAAAGAGAGTTTCCAAAGAAAAGACTACTCAGGTAGTGAGTTACTAGATAGTTACTTAGGATCTGATTAGGAGCAAGCAAGATGATGATGAAGTGATCATGGTGAAGTCAGTTACATGTTTGGCATAAAGGATGTTTCTCTGTGCATGCGTGAGAAATGGTGTCAAAATATTGGAACATAGAGAGTACAGTTGCCCAATGTAAAGGTCCGTTCACACCAAGGACAATAACTATTACAATACCTAAAGTAGTTTTAAGAATTTTTTTAATTCTATGAAAATGGGGAACAATAACAACAAGGAGGAACGATATCAATGGAATAACCTTCAGAATTATTTGAAGCTGATGAGTGATAAAAACAGTGTTGGTCAATCAGAATTTAACCCTGCTTTAAGATACTTAAAGAACATTAAGTAAAAAGTACATTTTTTTAAAAGTTACTTAAGTAGATGTATCAAAGTAAAATGTAGCACGTTACTATCCGCCTCTGTTTTTAGAGTGATGTCAAAGAACAGCTTGTGAGAAGTAGGGCACCTTTATACCAATTCTTTTTCCAAAGAGATATTCTTTTTTTCTTGGTTTGGGTCATGTCCTTATATCTCCTAAGAAGAAATCTTTGTGACTTCATGCCCCAGCATTCTGACAGTGAGGGGGCATTGGCCGTTGACTTGATAGCCGATAGCACTCTTGGCTTATGCGAGTCTTCAGCTGAGAAGCCTGTTGCACAAGACGAATACTCTCCTGAAGCCCTGATTCCCAGTGATAATGAGGAACCCATCCGTACCTCGCCGTCTCTAAAGGCCAGATTGATGCAAGAGAATGGGGATGAAGCAGAAGGGGAGGGAAGTGACTCTGACGATATTCTAATGGAGGACAACCAGGTAGCTGACTTTGCCAGTTCAATGTTGGCTGCCATTTCCTGCTGGCACTATAGAGCCAGAGCTTTGCTTTCCATGGACTTCACAACGGTGAGGTCCTCTGCCACCAAGGGGATTCTGTCATACCCCACCCTGACCTGCAACATGACCTGCATGTCTGCCAAACCTCCCGCCATGTTGCATGTGCTCTCACAGAATGCCTCAATTCACTAACAGCTCACACGGCATAAGCAGAAGCTAACTTTGTAGAGCATCCAGCAATGCTAGAAGAACTAAACAAATTGTAACAAACTTGTTACAGTTCAACACATAATGCATATACTGTATATTACTTCATTAATTTTCTCACTGTATTGCTGAATGTCACTTTGTTGACATCTAGCAGCGGTTATGATCGTTAATGATAAATGTTCACTCTTTTTTATTGTTACAGGTTTTTTTATTCAAATCAGCAATAATAGCTTTATTGAAAAGCAGGCATTTGGCTTGTAGTGTAAAAATAATAAATAAATATGGAAATAAATGCATGTGGGAATAAATACATATAAACACATGAATAAATACATTTATAAATAACTAAAATAAATAAATGTAAAAATGAATGAAAGTATAAGTAAATAAAAGTTAAAAAGAATAAAAATTAATGTAAAATAAATTACAGAAAATAATACATAAAGAAAAAAGGTCATTTAAAAATAAATTCCGGATAAACTATATTTGTTTTTATCAAGTCATTTATTTCTTTATTTTCCTGTTATTACATTTAATTATTTATTTTTAATTTCTGCAGGTTTGGTCCTCCATATTAGAGAATGTTCATATGTTGATTCTCAAATTAAGAACATCAAAAAGCAAAACTGATACTTAAGTATTTAATTTCTTAATCCAGCAAAAGTTTGTCATCTGTAATCAAAATTGATTAACTTGCTCTGTCCCTAACATATTAAATTTTTGGCTGACATCATAAATTCCTAGTATCTTCTCCTCCAGCCTTCTGTCTCCATTCTGGTACCTGACACCCAGTGGCGCCTCCCCCATTTGTCAAAACCATGTTCATTGTTATATCTTGATTTCCCCTTCTTACACTCTCAAGGACAAATCACAAAACCTGGAAACAACCTCTTGCTGGGGTTCCACTGAGAAATTGAAGCCAGATGTGTTTTGTGATCCAGAGTCCAAAGAGATGGAAAAACAGGTCCCAGATATCCAGGATCTGGAGTCTGCAAGAGACAAAGATGATCAGAAAGGTTCTAAAGAAGAGGCATCATCTCTGTTACGGCAGGAAGACACACCTGGTGATTCTTCAGAGGAAGAGGAGGATGTAGAAGAGAAACCAGACTCCACTAGCATCCTACCATCATCTGTGCTTGATAAGGCCAGTGCCATTGCTGAGCACTTTGTGTGTAATGCGCGGCGTAGTAGCGTCAGCACAGAGGAAATGCGCTCCCTCGGTTGTGTATCTCCACATCTTCCCAGCAGGACCGGGAGCACTGTAAGTCTAGGAGATGCCCATGAGCGCCAACATCGCCTTGCTAGCACCTGCTCTGAGTCACATGGAGTTCCACTGACCCAGGAAGCCCTTGCATCAGCAGACTTCATGATCGGGTCATCAGGGGAGGACAGTCTTTTTGACTCGGATCGAAGCATCTACATAAGAAGGGATTCAGTGCTTTCCAGACAAGACCAACTACTCATTGACAAGATTAGGAGCTACTATGAGAATGCAGAACACCAGGATGCTACATTTAGCCTAAAACGTAGAGAGAGCCTCACTTACATTCCAAGTGGGCCAGAACAGTTACCTAAGATTGACAGGTGCAAAAAAACTGAGAACGCTTCATCCTATAGTGAACACTTAGACAATGTTGTTAAAAATGCACTGGATTCTGGGAAAAGGGCTGATTCTAGTCAACACAGTGTTGTCAAGAATCTCAGAGAAAAATTCCAAAACATAAGATAAAAATCACTTGTTTTATGGTACATCTATTGTACGTTTCAAAAGTTGTAGAAAATTGTTGGCTGAAATGAAATACTTGCTTCTTTAATTTCTCTCATCTTTTATGTCTTCACCACTGAAGACAAATGTGTACAGTATGGTCAGCATATATCATGCTGTAGCCAAATAAGTCATCTGGCAAATTTAACCCTCAAAACTAATATTCTTTACATTGTCTATGCTATTTTATGGTATTTTGGACACTGTATGATCATGTGGCCTGCTGATATTGAGAACCCTGTGGATTTTAATGGTCTGAATGTCAGGGAGAAAGTGTAAATATTGTTGTACAGTTTTTGTTGTACATTCATTCTTTGTTATACCATTTACATATTTGATCTAGTAGATATGTATTTGGTAGTCATTTTACATGACATTCTTGTTTATAAATATTTACATTTTGGGTAAGGTTTTTCAATGAATGTCATATTTGAGCTAAGGATTTCTTTAGCAAGAGATCAAGTCTAGTCTATACTACAAAACAAGCCCTAGCAGAGTAGCATAATTAGTCTAGACTCTAAATGTAACAGACCATTTGAAAACATTTGTTTTATTTTACTTTGAACTTTTAAAGACATTTTAAAGTTTTTTAGTAAATGTCATGCATGGAACAATTTTTTCCCCCCCTTTGTACCTAAACCTAGTCTTTGATTAATGGATATAGGCATAGATGCCTTTTGTCTGGAGACTAGATCCAAATGTTTAAAAAGATGAAGATTTTAATGATTTTTTTTAAGCTTACACCAGTGATGCTACTTAAGCTTATTTTAAGATTTGTTGTGATCTTCACAACAAATCAGATTTAACATCAGGTTTTGGGGAGTGTCACAGTTACAAGACAAATATTAACCCTACATGTTTTAGCATTTGAAACACTGTTGGTTTAGCAGCCCGTGATAACAGATCTCTCATTGATCACTGTGTGTGTCTGATATTTATTAAGATTCTATAAATTTCCATATCTGTCTGACTTATTACAAATGCATCAATAAATACTTGTGAAAGTGAAAATTCACTCCCTAATAAAACCAAAGAAAATTCAACTTGCAGACTTGCACATATTTTTTATGTCCCGTGTAATTGAATGTGGTCTTTAGGCCTCAAAATCAAAGTTGTTTTATCTTAATGTTTTATCTTAGTTGTTCAAATCTTATATAGTTAATCCAGCAATATGTATGACTCCTTTTATGTATCTGTCATCCTCTTGTTAGAATACAGTTTAATACAGAACTGTTAATACAGTTATATTAACTGATTTTGGGTATCAGACAAGACTTGAATGACATTTGCATACCAGACATCTTTGCATCTGTTTAGATGTCTTCTGATGGGATCTGGTAAAGATATATATTTAAGAAGAACTTTAGTTTGAAACTATTGGATTAAAATACATTCTATTATTTTTTTAATACTTTCATTTGAAGTATTAAAGAAAAAAATATACATCATCCTAGCCATTAACTGTAGAACAGGATCTCCACAGTAGTCTCCAGGGGCCTCATTTATTAAACGTTTCAGAAAAGATTATTTCTGAAATGTGCTTAGGGTACAGGCACACCTTGAGAAAAATGTGCTTTTCACTACTCCAATAGTGTATGACTGCAGAAAAAAAGAATTAATAATGAAGGAATGTGATAGAGCATTTTGTGTGAAAATAAATCATAAAAGTAGTTTGTTTTATTTAAAGATCTTAGAAATGTATGAGGTGGCATTTTTCCTACAAATACATTAGCTGTTTTTTACTTGTTCAAAATAGTCACTTAAGCAAAGTTTATATTGTTTATTACATTGAATAAATGAGGCCCCTGGTCTTCATTTGGGATTGCTACAATTAAAGATTATAGGTTTTAAAAAATCAATTGTATGTTGTCAACAACAGACTACAAAAGTGTTAACAAGAAAGGTGTGTGCACTCACTCACATTGTTAACACATCCCTTCACGCTGGTGTTTTTCCTTCAACATTTAAACAGGCTCGTATAACCCCACTTCTTAAGAAACCCACTCTTAACTCTTTACAGACCGGTTTCCCTTCTACCTTTCAGTGCAAAAGCACTTGAACGAGTTGTGTTCAACCAAGTCTCAGCCTTTCTCAGACAGAACAACCTCCTGGACAGCAACCAATCTGGCTTCAGAAGTGGACATTCGACATCTTCTATACTTATTTTGCTGGATCTGTCTGCTGCTTTTGATACGGTGAACCACCAGATTCTCCTGTCAACCCTATTGGAAAATGGCGTCTCAGGAACCGCACGCCAGTGGTTTGAGTCTTACCTCTCAGATAGGTCCTTCAAGGTATCTGGGAGAGGTGAGGTGTCCAAGTCACAACATCTAGCTACTGGGGTGCCTCAGGGCTCAGTTCTTGGACCACTTCTCTTCTCTATCTACATGGCATCACTAGGTTCTGTCATTCAGAAACATGGCTTTTCATATCACTGCTATGCTGATGACACTCAACTCTACCTCACATTCCATCCTGATGATCCGACGATAGCTGCTCGTATGACGGACCATTACCTTCAACTCAACCTGGCTAAGACAGAACTGCTTGTGGTTTCAACAAACCCATCACTTTATCAAAATGTCACCATCCAGTTAGGCTCATCAACCATAACTCCTTCAAAAACAGCTAGAAACCTTGGAGTTGTGATTGATGATAAGCTGAATTTCTCAGAC